TGGGGGGGGGGGGGGGAGTGGGGTAGGGCTTGGAAACAAGCGATAGGAAAAACTTAAAATTCCTCTCAAGATGTTATTGCTCTACTCAGCAGGCATCATAAAGGTGAATGATTACTATCCATGCTCCAAAACTGCACATAAAATTATGAACATGTTACCCTAACATCTTGATTGTATTGGCCTTTTTTCATCTTTTAAGTTGATCTATTATGTTGTGGGGGAGAATCAATATGACTCCATTCATATGACAGACTTAACTATAGTTTAACTCAATGTTTCTCAAACTTGGGAACTTTAAGATACGTGGGCTTCATCTTCCAGAATTCCCCAGAATGGCTGGCTGGGAATTCTGGGAGTTGAAGTCCACACATTTTAAAGTTGCCAAGTTTGAGAAACACTGGTTTAACTTAATCATGATTTAGTCAATTCTTGTTTTTCTGGGCTTCTACCCTACACATCCATAAATGAAACATAAATGACCTATAGGGATTAACAACATGCCAGGCTGAAATGTAGTTTGTTAGGTTGGGCTCAGTATGTTGTGCAAATACAGCCCATGTGAAGCTTTTCCCCATCAGGAAGATATTCTGATGTTTCATTTACTGAATATGGCATGAGGTTATAAAAGACAATGGAAATAGAGGCAGGCTCTTCTCTTTCAGAGGCAGAGGCCCAGGTGAAGCTGATTGCCTTGAAGCTCACTAAGGAAGTGACAATCATTGGCTTCTATAAAGGAGGCTTATGATGGAGTATATAAAAAGAATTGTTGATGAGGTTATTACATAGGAGGGTTGAAGAGGTGAATGCAAGCAGGATGTGGCTGTCAAAAGGACTAGAGTTTTTGTTTCTGGGTTATCTGATTAGCTTAGTGACTTGTGTTAATCTCTTGGACTTTGCTAGAGAGTTGAAATCCATTTTGGAGCCAGTGACTACGCAGCTCCAAAATGGAGTCAAGACATTGCCTGTAAGGCAATCTGAAGCATCCTTTCCTAGACAGGATTTGTTGTTACCCAGCTCTTGGCAGCCTATCACAGTGCAGTGTGGTGAAGCTGAAATGGCGATACAGGTCCATCGAGATCTCTTTCAGACTGGCCACTTCATTCAAGCAACTGATCTCAGCATTGGTCCACAAGCCTGCCATTATTCTGTTAATGAGACTGTTACCTTGATTATCTTTAAGGTGGAGTTCCATGAGTGTGGCCACAATTTACAGGTAATCTTGCAGGATCTAGATGCAAATAAGAGCTGTTAGGGCTGATTTTATTATGTTAAGCTATGATTTGCTCAACTAAATTTAGTTAGTAAATCAAAATTCACTGGATTTTCATGTAAACTAATTTAGCATAAACCATAATTTATAAGCCATAGTGGCTAGACTTATTCTTAAACCAAAAATAAACCACCTCTTGAGTTGGTGAAAGATGTAACACCCCTCCCTCGCTCCCCAGTCCTGGGTCTTCTGTTATGGCAGTCGTGGGTCTCAATAGCTGTGTAAAAAAAGAAAAAATAAATCATCCTATATATTTTAACTAAACAACTATGGAATTTAGCTATATGCTATAGACTTTCTTGCTATGAAAAGATGGAACACACTTCTGGTATTTATTAACATTGAAGTCCTTGAAATACTCTGGGGTTAGCAATGTATATCAGATTCAGGCAAACTGGGTCAATCTGAGAAGATTCTGTGGTTAACAACTGATGGCTGGAAGTTTTATTCTTATAATTGAACCACCACTGTGTTTATGGTTTCATGAGTGAGCTTAATTGGAATGGTAACCTCAAAACCTGCATTTTGGGGATTTCCTTATTCTTTGATTTCACTATTAACATTCCTACCCCCCACCCCCCCAATCTGCAGATACCTTAAAATACCTAACAGTTGGGGAAAATGTTCATCTGTAGTGTTAGGAAGTCCATGAAAGTTTATGTCATGATAAATGTTAGCCCTTCTATAACATACATTTTAGTCATTTCTGGAAGACTCTAGTTCAGATTTCTGGCCATAACAAGTTACTAACATTTTATTCTTTTTACTGAAATGAACAATTTGCTGATTTGGTTCTGTTGAACATATGAGGTAGGATATCACAGTATGTTAAGCTAAAATGTGAGTTTTTAGCTCAGTGTGTCATGCAAATCTGAGTATATAGGTTAACTATGGTAAATATTATATGAACAGAGCTAATAGTAGAAAATAACTTTGGGCCAAAGATACTTGCCATCTTTATATGCACTTAATAGCTCTGGCTGTAACTGTGTGATATGTTCACCTGTGGTTAACTTAACCAAAGTTAACTCAATTAACCCAATTTTCTGGCTTTGCCCTATACACTGAACTATGTATGAAAGAAACAAGTTGGATATATACAACACACTAGAACGAAATGTGGTTGGTTGGTTTGTAGGTTAATGTGTAATGCAAACACAGCCTTCTGTGGTGGATATACTCAGTGGCAAGCAACTCCCTGACTTTATCTGGAAGAGCTGAAACGGAAGTGTGTCTGTCTTCAGCCAAATGTAGTTACAGAGCTCTGTGAAATTGGAGATGCTGATAAAGCCATTTCAGATTCACCTGCTGGGTTTGAATGTTGCCCTAACATAATGTGGTATGTTTCATTTTGGTTTAACATATTGTGTGAGCCCAGCCATGGTGGATTATCAGCCATGATTTATGAGTTGTAAAACCTCAGCCTACTGTGGCTTATTTGGTTAACTGTGGTTCAAAGTCACAAAATCTGCCAAGTCATGAAAAAAGATTAATGTGGATGCATTTTATCTTCTGTCATGTATGGCCTATGAACTAGGTTTGGAAATTTAACTCAGGCATAGCATGTTTTCTGAATCCAGAATGGAACTGAAATTGGTCTCAAATTCCACTTTTTACATATCCCAAACAGACAATTCTGGGTTTGAAGAAAGGGTTAGCCTCAGTTAAATCTCCTGGCCTGAGCTCTTGAAGTGCTGCTTTTAAATCACCTATTTTAATTCATTAAAATGGACTTAATCCATTAAACAAAAAAGGGGGGGCAGTAATCATATCACTGAAAATTATTCTGTTGGTGAATTTTTGCAGTGCAAATCTGGAGCGTCCTGGGGGTCCCAAAACATTGCTTAGCTTATCATAACTTATGAATCCAGCTATTATAAAACTGTAAATACAAAACTGCTTTGTTGTTCCAGACAACATCAGACTCCTTGTTCTACCACACTAGCTTGTACTATAAGCCAGGCCCTGCAAGCAAATTGGTAATTGTTAGAAAGAGCCCAGTGGAGTTTCCCATTACATGCCACTACCCACGGTGAGAAGTGTTATCTAACTTTACTGTCCAGCCACTCACTTGCATCGCGGTGCTGTCCATAAGTAACACACTTTCTTTTCAGGAAAAATAATGTGAGCAGTAATGTCATCCAGCCCACCTGGGTTCCTTTCACTTCAGCAATGTCTGAGGAAGGAAAGCTATACTTTTCCTTGCATCTGATGACAGGTAAATTAGGTTCCATATTTTAGGCGAACAACTAATGTGGGGAAGCTCATGATTTAAATTCTTTTGTTATTGTATAACTACAGGTGACTGGCAGGCTGAAAGAGTTTCAACTCAATACTTGCTGGGTGATGATCTCTATGTTCAAGCAGATATCAGAAAAGGAAACCACTTGCCACTCCGCCTGTTTATTGATACCTGCATGGCCACGTTGACACCTGATGGAGATTCTGGTCCACACTATAAAATCCTTGACTTCCATGGGTAAAGTTACTAGTGCTAGCTATAAACTGTCCATTGGTGACAGAATTTGCCAAAAATGATATAGCATTTCTATGAGAAAAATCCATGGGCAGATACTGCCTCTACCCTTCTCTCCAAATTTCTGAACTTATCCCTGTGGGATTTGTAAGACTATTTGCCAATTGCCTGTTACCTTATTGTTACTGTTTTCAGATGAACATAGATTGTGCAATTATTCTCAACATTTTACAGACATTCAGTAAGCCTTGATGGCCTGGTTCATCAAGCCAGAACAATCCAAGTTACCAGGATTGGATTTACATACTACACTAACCACAAACAAACTACCTTATGGCTTGGTATAATGGACACATTATTTTGCCACATGTATTTTAACCACACAAACAAAAAAGATGCCAGGGAGGTAAATGTCAAAATTCTGTGTAATGTTTGAAGGGTCCTACAGTGTTTGACTTTCCAAGCACTTTTAAAGGAAGTTAAGCACTGTTACTTCAGTGATGGCAAATAGAAGGGGTAGAAATGGAAGCAGTAACAGACTTCATTTATTTCGGCTCCAAGATCACCGCAGACGGAGACTGC